TTTTTTTTTTTTTACTGCTGTTGTTTTCGAAATTGCTGTTTGAAAAATAAACAGAAGATGAAGAAGAGAAGAGCAGAAGATTTTTTTTTTGTGTTGTTGGTGGTGTTGTTGTTGTTCGCCGAGTATAACAACATGGTTAAGAATCAAATTAAGAAAAAAAAAATTTTTTTTTTTCTTTTTTACTTTTCCACAAAACATTTTGTTACTAAAGAATAACACAAAGAAGAAGACGAATGAAATGAAGAAGCAGGGACTGGTCTTCGCTGTACGATTCAAGCAATTATACCCAGCATTCAGTTGAACAGCCAAAGTTAAAGTTACGTAAAGTTGATAGAGAGGAAAAATAAAGTCAGTTAATAATAGTTGAAAAACATTCATATGGCACCTATCATTCATTGGCATTAATATAGCATAAAACACGACCAATGATTCTACAACGGTCTTTGTTATCAGTTACAGCAGCAAGACAACTAAAAAATCCAGCCAAATTTTTTCATCTCTCTTTACCTGTGTAGCCAAACTGGTAAGTTTTGCATGAGAAGCTACAATTATCGCATGATAGCTTTGCTATTCTAGCCTCCTGGCAAGCAAAATAGAGGAATCTACTTTTTCTCCTCTCCTTTTCACTTCGCTCTTGTTCCTCCGTTCCTCCTTCTTGGCTTTCTTTCTTGTTCCTCCGTTCCTCCTTCTTAGCTTTCTTCCCCGGTGGTCCGACTCGGTTTTCGCGTAGACCTGCTACCATGTGGACAACATGTGAGAATCAACTCTTTATATAGAGCGGTATAGTTATTACCGCTCTGTTTTTAAAAATATTAAGGTGGCACTAAAGAGATGATGATTTTTGATATAAAAGCATTTTCTTGACATGTTTTAACAATTATGTTTTTTGTTTACAGTTTAATCAACTTTCAAGAGTAACAAAAAAAAACCATCTAATTTTTATTTCTTCTGGACGAGAAAGTTTCCTGCTTTATCCACGTCTGTGTAAATTCCTTTTTTTTTACTCTTCTGTTTGCTCAGCTGACTGCAGTTACCAACACTGTATTCTAAGTTGTCTTAATAAAGAATTTTTACTCGATATCTTTAACTCAATTTTCTCCTACTGTAGCTTTACCAATTCCTACTTACTATTAACAGCTTTCTCCATGACCCTGTCTTTCAAATCGCCTTTAAGTGACACTTCTACTAAATACACGTAAACTGCAAGTTTAAAACAATTAACTGTTAAAAACATTCTTTCCTATTCTTTTCTCCTAAGATTCTACTCGTTGGCCCTACCATTTGAATGTCGTCTATCCTCGCAGACGAAAAGCACTTTAATTTATAGAGAAATGATTGAAGTTTTTGTCAATTTGATACTGCAATTTGAATTCACTTTATTTTGCATCTTGTTTCGTATTGGTAATGTAAGCAGAAATACCACTGACTTGTGGGACAGATATTTGCTGTAAAAAATTTAGGCTTTATCTACCTAATTTTTTCTTTTGTCTTATAATAATTCATTTATTGCAAGTTTAAAATTTGAATTTTAAGCAGAAGTGATTACTGCCTTTGTAGCATTAATAAAATTTGCAGCAAAATCATTGACTTTTTTGGCGATTAATACTTGTCACAGTTAATGCTAGCTGAAGTAAAGATTTTAAGACAGATATACTGAAAGAGGCTTGGTATGGTTGCTGAACATCGATGTGACATTTTCATTAAACTTTAGCTCTTTGTCAAACTTTACATCAGGCGCTCAGCGCTATAACGATGACTAATAAAGTAAATTATTGAAAATAAAAAAAAAAAAAAAAAGAAAAAGAAAAGTGGATTTTTTTTTGTTGATGCAAAATGATTACCGTTAAAAGCTGATACCTAACAACTGTAGCAAATTTTCATAAAAAAAAAAAAATAAAAATTTTTTTGATGACAGACAGGTTGAAATCAAAGTTTTATAAAAATTAAATAATCATCTGGTTTTTTTTTTTCCAGATGTATACTAAAAAAAAGTTTAGAGAAAAATTTGAGTAGAAGTTAGAAAAAAAAAAAAAAAAAAAAGAACAGTTGACATTTTGTCGCATTTTTTCTTTTTGCTTATTTGCTCAATTTAAGTGTTTGTTCTTCTTTATACAATTTTTTTTTTTTACTTTTTTGCCTGTTTTTTTTTTGTTTTCTTTTCATCTCATTTTCGTTTTCATTTGTAGTTTATTTAATACATTTTGTGGTAATCAGAAAAAAAAATTTGAAGAAAGAGTTTCGGGATTCATTAGAATTAAAAACATGCAAGAAAAAAAAGGAGAAAAAGGTTAAAAAATTAGACGAAAAGCTTTCTTGACAATTTTTTGTCTTTTTTTTTTTTTTTTAAAAAAATACATTTCTAATATTTCTTTTTTTCAATATTCCGGCTTCGCACCATTTTATTCTGTCTGCTCGTATCTAAATCAATCGGATAAGAAGATTTTTTTTTGGTCTTAGAAAAAGTTTACTGTTTGGTGAGTAATCGGGGGATAGAAGCTCAGTATCAAGATGACAGTACGAGAAATGTAATTGGTGAATAAAATTTGGTTTGTAGGCTAAAAAATTGAAATATTTCTTCCTTCTGCAGTTTCCTTCTCCGTCTCCTTCACCTCTCCTTTTGTCCTGACGAAACGATCGTTTCATAACTTTTCAATGTTGAGTTGTTGCAAATTCATCATTACTTTTATTTTCAATTTCACTTTTTTGTGCCTGTCTTCTCATTTCTTTGCTGAATCAGATCAGCTTAGCCTACATGAAAAAAGTTGTATATTTAAAACTTTTTTTCTGCTTTGTTTTTTTTTTTTTCACAGAGAAGGAAACAGGGCAAATTAATGGCGGCGAATGTTATAGAAGCAAAAAAAAAAAAAAAAAGGAGAGAGAGAGGAAAAAAGGGTAAGGACTGTGGAATATAAAAATTGATAGCAGAGAAGAGATGGCCGATAAAATAGATAGTTTTTTTTTTACACCTTTTTGTTAACAATAACAGTTATACTTTTGGAGAACTGTTTTTTTTTTCTTTTGTACTTTTGTATTAACGTCTGTTTGTTTTTTCTTTCATATTCTTTGTTTTCTTCTCTTTCTTCTTACCACCCTGTAAAAAAAAATGAAATTTTTTTTTTTTTGATTTTGTTTTTCACATTTTATTTGTCAAAACTATAAATATTGTTGTCCAGTCTATGACGCATATAAATATACCAAATATACTTATCTCTATAGATGTGTATGTTTCAGAAGCAAAAGCTGTTTGATAAACCAAAAAGTTGTAAGGATTTTGGGGACGACCACAAACAAAAATACGCACTCTTAAGCACAGCACCTATATATATATATATATATATATATATATATATATATATAATATATATATATATATATATATATATATATATATATATAAACTATATATATATATATATATATATATATATATATATATAGTGAAAAATAATAGATGGATCGACGACAACAACAACAAATTTCTGCCATATTGTTGCATACTACGAACAATAAAAAAAAATTGGTTTAGTTTGCAGACATTTGAAAGAAAAAAAGTGCTGAAACTTTTTTTTTCTTCCATTTTCTCCCTGAATTTTTCTTCCTACTTAGTAATCATCCGGTTATTTCATTAGAGTAAAACAACGAACTGAAGTAAGGGGAAAGATTGGAGCATAGAGAGAAGCAGTACAGAAGGAATGAGATGAAGATGACAAAAAAGATGCTAAATTTATTGTAACCGCAGTAATTTTCCTGAGAAAAAATTTTACTAGTAGCTATAGTCCAGTATTTTGTCTACCGTAGGTAATAAAGTTTCTCGGTTTTCTATTTAAGCAGTAATAAACTTTTAATTTGTTTGAAAAATATATATATACATATTTTTTGCATTGATGAGTTTTAATTGAGCAGAAAGGAAAAACAAAATTTACAAGAAGCATAGAATTAAAAAATTATGTCTGCAAAATCAGTGACATTTTTAGAATTATGTTTTTTACGCTGTTGGCGTTGATAACGACAGAGATGGTGTAGAAGATAGTTCTACATTTTAGTTAGTACACAGTTGAAGCCTTGTAACCAATGATTTCATAAATTTCAACGTGACGAAGGAAAAAAAAATAGTTAAAAAACGGAGAAGTTTTTCTTACATTGGTTACTTTACTGCCGGCTGTATAAAATAAATATTTTTTTCCCCCTTTACTGTTTTTTTTATCGTCTTCACATTTTTTCTCCATCATTCTGTCCTTTTTTCCACAAGTTGTTTCAATTTTGTTGAAACTTGTGCTATGGCTAGCCATAATGCCCTAGACTTAACGTCGGCATTGATTTCCAAACACTTGCAACAATTAATCATTTAAATTTTTTCTTCTTATTGAACCAGCATTGTGAAGACAGGAAAACAACGAAGAGGAAAGCAGAGTTGAAGAAATAGGAAAAAAAAGTAAAAGATTAGAAAGCGCAAAATTTGGACACAGGTGAGAAGAAAAATTTAAAATAAAGCAAAGATTAATTTACGCTTATAGACCTTCATGGTAAAGAAGGCTTTTCCTGTCAATTTTTCAACTTAGTTTTTTACCTGATAAATTTTTGCACAATAAGTTTTTGTCAGGAAACTACACCACTAATTGACACCCACATATAAATCTATGACCAAATAAAGGCACATGTATAGGCTCAAGTATTTTGGAGAAACCAGTGGAAATTATAAAAAACAGTAATTGGTTTGAAAAAAAAAAAGAGAAAAAAAGCATATCTATTTAAAACTTCAAACGTATCAAAGAAGACGAGCGGACATAGATCTCTGATTGAAAAACAACTAAGTGCAGTTAGACGGCGATTCTAGATGATGTAGAGAAGACAGAAAATGAACTTCCTTTCATTCAGTTTCAAGAGAACGTTAAAAATTTACTTGAAACAACTAGAAGAGTCTAAGCTGAATTCCGACCTGTTCAACCTGCAGTTTCCTATGATGATGGAAAACATTCTGGAATCATAAAGAAGGGAAGAAAAGTTTCAGAACTGTTACTAAAGAAAATAGGGAAAAGAGTTGTGGTAAGGGAGAGGGAGGCAAGAATGGGAAGAAGGCTGGAAAGAAGACCAGAAAGAAGACTGGTGAAGTAGATGACTGGAAATATATGGTTCGCAATAGCAAGAAGAAGTAAATTTATTCAAAGGACAAAAAGCACCACTATTTTTTCTTAACCTTTTTATTTTCTGCTGCTACAGGTTCGAGCAGATGAATATCAGAAACCGGAAAAAATTTTGTTGGAAATGTGACACTGTATAAAAATTAGATGAGATTGCGATAACACTGCAGGGTACCATTACCTTTCAGCAGCGGTGGAGAAATCCCGAAGAACTGTGCGGACAGTCTGGCAAAAGTGATGAAACTTTGGTCGATCTTTTTTTGTTTTCAGAAATTGGAAGCCGCTCAGACGTGAAAAAAAAAGCTTCTAATCAACAGCAGTTGGAGATTTGAAACCAAA